GGCATCGTTCATGGGGAAAGTACTTGTAACAGCCTTCTGCCAGAGTCACCGGGCTGGGAGTCAGCCTCTATGTTGAGGACAGGCGCATTCACCCGGCCTAGACAGCCCTGTCTCTTCCAACATGGAGAGACTGAAGGGACATCAGAGAACCCCTTGTTCCCCTTCTCTTCTCTGCCTCTGTTACTTTTTTCTAAGAAAACATCTCGCATTTGACTTCCAGCCCAGGCAGAAACCATTTACCTCTTCCACAAGACATCTCCGGGTTGTCACCGGGCTGCAAATGAGCAGCTTCGATTGCTCAGGAAAAGATATTACAATTTTATCTCCTTGTACTGTTCAATAAAACATTAGTATCTCAGCATTTTTATTTAACAATAGGCAACCTTAGGCCAGTAATTATGCAACAATTATAATCATAAAAACTGTCCCCTGCTGCTCACCTAGAAACACGAATATATTAAACCAAGACTAACCATCTAAAAGGCAAGCAGCAAAGCCCCCTCATTTTTAATGTCCCTGCAGTGCACCATGGGAAGCTAATAATTCTCCCTCTAATTAGTATCCCTTCTGCTGCTGTTGGCGCAAGGACAGACAAAGAGGGAGCGGCTTCGTTACAAACGCGCCTTGGTAATCTTTAAACGTCGGCACGCTCTGCGGGTTGGCTGAGTGGAGCTAGGCAAATGGGGTGTGCAATTAGAGATGGGCAGCACCTCACCTTGTCCTGACTGGGCATTCTTGCCCTAACAAGCTCTGGGCAAGCCCCCCACCAGCTTGTCCCTTTCTTTTTCAAGCCGTGCCATGCTCTTGATCCTCCTTTAAATCTGGCTGTGACTGCACTGGCAGTGGCGGTGGAGGGAAAAACCAAGGAGTCCTTGGCCTTGTAAGTGCTACCCTGCAGAGACCCCACACTGGGGCTGTAGTTAGTGATATCTGTCCCAGCTGGATGGAGCAGGGCCATTGGGCAGTAACAGATACTCAGTGGGCACGAGGCGGGCACAGGCACCTTCCCAGCTCTTCTAGGGTCAACGGTCTGACTCAACTGCACCAGCCCTCTTGATCTCAGCCTCAAGTGTCAGGTCTGTGACTTCGGGAGGGCTTGTAGAATTACATAGGGGGTCCTTCAGGAACACGGACGCCATCCCATGCCAGCGTGCTCCAGGCCCATGTTAGGAAATGTTCATCAGGGATCATATTCTTGAGTGTTAGGGGAATAAGCATCAGAGGCAATAGAGAGCAGCAGTGACTGTGGCTAACTCGTGCACATGCCCTGTATTCATAGAATCGTTTCCAAGTTCCAGCTAATTAGTGGTGCAGGCCGGGAATATGCTGTGTCCGGGGCTTCCGTAGCAGAAAAGAGAAATCTACCTTTTGTGATGTAAAGTCTGAAGTAAATATGTTTAATGTCCTAGGATTACACAATTAGGTAAAGTTACAGAAACACCCCCCCCCCCCCCCATACAACGACTATTTCTGAGCTAGGCCTGGCTGCAGGACCTCCAGGGTGGGATTCTGGGTTACCGGTCAGCATCTGTAGACACTTAGCCAGGTGACATAGATTTCCCCTGTGCTGACTTTTGGATTCAATCTGGCCAATAATTGGCCTTCCCTGTGCCTTGATTGTGTGGCCAGCCAGTCAATCCCCTCTCTGGACAGCTGAAAGTGGACTGGGAGGGTGTCAGAGAATGGCTGAGTGCAATTAGGCGGCCAGGATTAAACCCCGGCCTAAAACGATGGGGCATTTTTCTCTCCGTCACCAACTCATTAAGGGCCCACTTGACAGCCACAGCATTCCCAAGGCGGACCACAGCATATTTCTCCAGAGCTGCAGAGAGCACCTAAGACCCGGTAATGAGATGTGTCTGAGTTGGGCTGAGAGGGCCGCAGAAGGCTGAGTCATGAATTCCCAGGGCTGACTCTCCCAGAGAATCAATCTGGCCAGAGATTGGGTGGAGTTGGACTAGGAGGACAGGATTGCTTGCTTGAAAAGGGGACAAACTCCTAGGACCTTCTGCTGTTCAGGGTCCTCGTGGCCTTTGCCACTACATCGCTTTGAAGACCGGGAGGAGGGTTGGGAAGAAAAATCAAGTTTAAGGGGAATGTGGTCCTTTCTGGAGCCTCAAGGGGCCAGAGATTTAACATTTTTAATGCTTAGAGGACTGCAAGGGGCCCGCTGATTTTTTTCCCCAGGGACTCCCTAGGAGAGGGAGGATTGTCTTTTATTTGACCTTTTAGTTTTTCTCAAATAACAACAGCAAGAATAGTATTGGCTCCATACTCCATCCCCAGTGTGGGGAGAAGCCTGGACTTGGCACTTGAGTTGGTCACAGGGCAGCTGCTACAGTAACTGGGCGTTGAGTGCCACTGGCTCCGTGTCTGCTTCAGATAGGAAAAGGTGGGATCTCTGTTTCTAGGGGGCCGGTTTTATTAATTTTTTTTCCTTTTTGAGCATTGAACTTAGACAATCTATGATAGGTTTAGATTCAAGACAACAGTTGCTTTTGGTAATCAAGGAAATGACTATCACACACTTGAGTTCTTCCAAACAGCCGCTGTCCAGCGAACAAGGGTCACTTAGAGCTGTTTACTCTTTCAGAGTGCTGGTTACATTTTTCTTAGCACATGGATGATCTGATCATCCCCACTTGCAGATGAGGAAACTGAGGCCTAAGGTGACTTTTGAGTCATACCATGACAGGTAATTTAGCATTCAACTTCAAAGACTCTCATGGTCCCGGCCTCCCTTTGCCTTGTGATTGGAGGTTGGAGGTTTTCAATTTGGAACATGGTTCTTCTTCCTCCTCTGCCTTCTTCTTCCTCCTCCTCCAGGACCTCCTTATCTTCTTAAGTCACAACAATTTCTCTTTCTTTTCTTTTCTTTTTTTCTTTCTTTCTTTCTTTCTTTCTTTCTTTCTTTCTTTCTTTCTTCCTTTCTTTCTTTTTGAGACAGGGTTTCTCTGTGTAACAGTCCTGGCTGTCATGAATTGAATTAATGCCAGAACATGAGAAAAACATTGAAATGGATTGTAGATAAAGATGAGAGTGAGGAGAAAGAGTGAGTGACCGAAGTTTGTGCTGCCCTGATACCCTCCCAGCAAGGGTAGTGGGGCTAATATGGTTGGTGTGTCTTCGTGTTCCATTGCTGTGCAGAGACACCATGACCATGGGAGCTCTTATAAAGGAATGTATTTCATTGGGGCTTGCTTACAGTTTCAGAGGTTTAGTCCATTGTCATCATGGCATGGTGGGGAACATGGAAGCATGCAGACAGATAAGGTGTTTGAGAAGGAGCTGAGAGTTCTACATCCAGATCTGCAAGGAACAGAAAAAGAGAGACCTCTGAGCCTAGCTTGGCCTTTTGAAATTTCAAAGTGACACACTTCTTCCAAAAAGCCATGCCTACTCCAACAAGGCCACACCTTTTATCCCTTCCAAAGTAGTGCCACTCCCTGATGACTAAGCATTCAAATATATGAGCTCTGTGGGGAGCATTCTTATTCAAATCACCATGGCTTTGGAAACATGGGTACACCAGGGCTCAGCAACGTAGGCAGGGACATCCAGTCTGCCTGACCGTGGGGACCAGAAGGGATGGGAAAGTGAATCCCCACCCAGAACAACCACCAGGTGGGAGACAGTCCTTGGCACTGTCTCTGTATCATGCTGCCTGGCAGTTGGGGAGATTGCTTGCCTTCCTACTTTCCACCTCTCCTGACTTTCCAAGATGACCCTACCAGGACCAAGGCAAACACAATGAGTCCACGTCTCCATGAGTTATTGAGCCCCTGGGCCTTTAACTTCAGATGTCAAGCCAGGTGAGCACAAAGGTGTTGACCAGAAACCCTGAGAGAAAGTAGACAGGGGTTCTGTACACAAAGCCAAGGATGGAGAAGGTGGCATGAACTGGTCCTACTAGGGTGACATATATGGCTCCCAGCAGTCTGGGGCCAGTGTGTCCTTTACCAGGGTATAGCACAGCCAACTTATCTCTCATTGAGGAAAAGTGGCATCCAGATGTCCTCAGTTCACCTTGGGAAGGGCTGTCCTAGAACAGCCACATGGGACTCTCAGAGAGCCCGAGTCCACTTTGGGTTGCCCACACATCACACTGTCTGTGTAGTGTCAACTGTCCAGCCTTGTGACTGTTCCCTGGGGAGCAGCGGCTTACCTACACATCTACACAGCACTGTGCAAGATAGCCAGAGTGTAGGGAGGCTGTAGGTGGAAACAGTTCTGGAGTAGGAAACCAGAGCCCCGGGATTGGCTCATCCAGACTTTGTCAGGGTAACAGCCAGGCAAGGCTCACCTCTGCTCTATCCTGCAGCTTAGTAGAAAAGTCTTAGTTTTCTACTGAAGTTTGCATCATGGGAGAACTGATAGTGGCCCCTTACCTAGTAATCACCCCGAACACCAAGGAATTAAGTCCCTTTTCACACCCCTTTGTGAAGTTTTATCTTCGAAACAATACATAAAAGTTTCCTGGATGGGGAATTCCTACTGATGGCTGTTATAACTAACCTTCACCTGGACTTCAGGTTAATCAAAGACACAGGACACACTGGACTTCAGGTTATGCCAAGAAGCCACACCCCAGCGAGATATATTCCCGCCAGGCAGGACTCCTGTGAGGAGACACGGGATGCTCACAGTCAGGAACTAAGGCCCACAGTGAGAGAACAGAGATAGCTATTAACACTCAACCCCAAACTGGGGGCTTGGCATGGGGAGATGTAGGATAAAAAGCACAAATAGAGCAGTGATCCCCATCTCCCCCAATTTCAGGTGACATTTGGAGGTGCTCAGTCCCTCCACTGTATTGGGGGTACTAACTGGGTCAGGGGTGTGGGACCTGAGCCGGGCTGCTCTGCTTTATCAGTTGCTCGGGGATTCTGTTCAGCTCCAGAACAGCAGTTGGGGTTCTTTCTCTTAAACATATTTCTGAGTCCAGATTCCCAGTGCTTGCCCTAGAGTTAATGAATCATAATAAAAACAGACTGGAGCACTTGCTGGGAGCCGATTTGAGTGGCTGCCATTACAAGATGGCATTTGGCCCCGGCCTCGCTTGATAAATAACTCCATATTAGGCAATGCAGTGGAACCGGGCCTCTCGCACATGTGCTTAGGGCCAATTCCGTGGCCAGGAGCATTGGTAGGTGCGCATAGGCCAATTCAGGCACGATTCGTTCCCATAATAAAGGTTGCAGTTCTTCCACCAGAAAACAGGGTGAGTTGTTGTGATTTAGCTGCCCACACTTCCCCTGACCGGCAGGGGAACTTCTTTGTGGTCTGTAATTGACAAGGATGTTTGTTTTCTTTCTGGCCAGGTTTTTTTCCTTATCCACATTTTCTTATTGTTAACAGTAATTTTTAATCTTGGTCAATTTTACAAGGATAGGGTAAAATCTCAGAGTTTTGGTTTGCATTTCTCTGACGGTTAAAGGATGTTACATTTGAACATTTTTTAAGTGTCTCTCAGTCATTTTCAGTTTGTCTGAGAGTTTTCAATTTATGTCTGTAACAAATATTTTTATTGGATTAAATTTTTAATAACTAATTTCCTGAGTTCTTCATATACAAAAGGTTCTCAATTCAGGAGATATAATTTATGGTTTCTCACAATGTTTGTGCCACTGAGGCTGTGTCTGAGATGTAGCAAAGTGTACTTCAAAAATTTTTTCTCTGAGGAATCACAGCCTCAAGGCTCTTATAAAAACAAAAAGGGGGAATGGCTGAGACTGCCTCCCCTAGGAATAGGATCGCTATGGCCCTTTTTACTCTTAATTTTTTGATAATGGGTGACAAAGGTCGTACGGCAGCCGACCGACATGCCCACACCTCCCCCGGAAGGGGCAGGGGAAGTGATGTGGAAGGATGTGTTGGATAATAAATGGTATGGCCTGGACCCCGTTATCCGGAGGTCCAGGGGAGCTATTTGTGTTTTTCCCCAGGATCGAGAAGTGCCTCATTGGGTCTGGAGCCACCTGACTAGAACTGTTGAAGTCCATCATGAAAATGACTCTTCAGGATGCTGATACTGCTGATCCTGTGGAAGACGATCCCAAGCCGAGTGGAGCAGAGATGGGGAATACTGTCTGCCTTCCCTAAGCCGATTCCTGTTTGCCACAATGCCGTGGTTTTTCCCCGTTTTTTGAAGCAGCTTCTTGTGACCCTGGCTCGACTGCTGAGTCCTTCACGGGGATGTTGCTGCTGTGTTCTGCTCGGTGCCCACTTCAATTTCACAAGCCCCAGCTGAACCTGTTTGACACTTAGCATGTAGTGTTTCACCATCTGACACTTTTGAACTTTGCTCAGAGGATAACACACTGGTAGATTCCTTTGGAGCAACAAGCTCAGTTTGGCTGCAGGCTTCCTCAGTCCCTACTTTGAGAAAGGCTATTCCTTCCCCCTCAGAGCTGTGTGCTCAGCTTCTCCTTTGTCTTGTCTTTTCCGAGATGACCTTTTGGTGGTGGGCTTGACTTGAAGATGTATAATCTGCCTATGGCTAAAATGCCGCCCCCAAGCTCAGACATCTCGAGATAAGGTTGCGGTTCTATGAGCGTTAGCCGCTTTGGAGAATGGCGATTCACCCCAAGTATGGTTATCTGTCCTAAAAGGCCAGTAGGTTTGTTCCTTGCATAGACTTTGCACTCTCAGGGAGAAATTCTCCATTGCACTGAGGAAGGTATGCATTTTTACTCTGAGTACTGCCTTTGCACCTCCCAGGAGTTTATTCCATTGCATTGGAGAAGGAGTACCAGGAGTTTTAGGCCTCCTTTGATTGGTCCTTGCATCATGAGGTGAGGACCTGAACGGGAGTAAGACCTTCTCACTGGCCTACAGAGAAAAACAGAAAGGGGGAACTGCTGGGAGCCAATTTGAGTGGCTGCCATTACAAGATGGCATTTGGCCCCGGCCTCGCTTGATAAATAACTCCATATTAGGCAATGCAGTGGAACCATGCCTCTTGCATATGTGCTTAGGGCCAACCCCGTGGCCAGGAGCATTGGTAGGTGCGCATAGGCCAATTCAGGCACGATTCATTCCCATAATAAAGGTTGCAGTTCTTCCACCAGAAAACAGGGTGAGTTGTTGTGATCTAGCTGCCCACACTCCCCTGACCAGAAAGGGAACTTCCTTGTGGTCTGTAATTGACAAGGATGTTTGTTTTCTTTCCGGCAGGTGGGTCTCCAGAGAAGCAGTTGAAGTATCAAAGGTTGCTAGGCAGACTCCCTATATAAGCAGCTGCAGCTCAGAGCTCCAGGCCCCTCGCTTCCTGCTCTCCCTATAACCAAGAGGCTCCAATAAAGAGTGATTTGAGAAGAATCCTCGTCTGGTGGCTGTTCTTTCCTGCTGGTCAGGGAGTTTGCTGCAAGCACTGGGTTAGAACGATGGGGGTGAGAATGGAATTAGAAGGCTTCGTTCAAGTCCTGCCTATGGTTCCTTCTCCCATTCCACACACATTTTGTCATCTTATATCCGATTTGAGAAGTGCATGACTGAGGGTAATGAAATTCTGCACATGTAGGCACTTCCGGAGGGCTGGAGTCACTGTGCAGATGCCTGGCATCATTCTCGGAACAGACTCAAACCCAAGCGCAGCTTTCCCTCCAGAATCACCGGAAGTTCAGGGTCACGCTGGAACTGCTGGTTGAGTCCTTATTTGTGACTCTGACAGTACCCACTTCCTCTTCCTGCAGCTGTTTGTTGATGATTAAATTATTGTAAATAGGTCCTATTCACAGCATAATAAAACACCATTAGCATGACTAATCACACACCTGATTATATAACCCACTCCTCCTCCCCCAACCTATTTTCTGCATCCTACACCCGATAAATCCAGTGCTGACAGGGAGCTCTTGTTAAAGCTGATGAATGGGCCTTGGGGAACTTTGCTGGGGGTGCCCTATTCCTCCCACCATAGAACAGACCTCAGGAGATGGCCACATGAATGAAAAGGGTACCAGCTCTGCCCAGTCTGTTTGTCCCGGCTTCTGGCATTGTTGTTAATAGTTGTTATCTAACAGGGCACTAGTGCTGTTGGGTAAAGCCACTCTGTGTCAGGCACTGATAAACTCCTATGTTCTTTATTTTGCCTGTGAACGTTTTGGTTTTATTCCTTCAAGAAACCTTATGGTGTGTGAAATGCTATTACTCCCCCGTTATGAATGAATACAGTGAGAACTAGAGAAGTCAAATAACTCGCCCACAGGTGAAGCGTTCGCATTGGCTTTCTGCTGCTGTGCTACAACACCCTGACCCAAAGCAAGTTGGGAAGGAAAGGTTCATTTCTGCTTGCAGGTTATGGTCCATCACAGCGGGAAGTCAAGCAGGAACTTGGAGGCAGGAACAGAAGCAGGGACCATGGAGGAGTGCTGTTTTCTAATTTGCTCCCCGTGACTTGCTCAGCTGTCTGTCTTATATAGCCAGGTTCATCTGACTAGGGGTGGGCCTGCCCATGGTAGGATGGGCTCTCCTTCATCAGTTAGCAGTTAAGAGGATGCCTCACAGACTTGGCCACTGGCCAATCTGATCCGGGCAATCCTTCAGCTGACACTCCCTCTTCCCAGGCAACTCTTGGTTTGTGTCAAGTTGACAGCTGAAGCCACCCTTGACATGGAGTCAGAGGGTGCACTGAAGTCATCTTGATTCAAAAGTGGTTTTCTCATCATGTGTCACTCACCTCCCCTGCGTGCAGACACACACAAGAACAGTCCTGCTGGTGTGGGGAGAGAGCTGGGAAAGGAAGACCGGGAAGAGTGGGGAAGGTGGGCCAACCAAAGCCCTAGGGAGTTGGCAGATGTCTCCTGAACTGCCTGACCTTCTGGTCATGTGAAATAAGTGGTCACCTGGTGATGCTGGCAGTGGCCGTGTGGCTCCGTGGGCTTGTGATGTGACAAGAGACAGGGTCTCAGTGAGCAGAGCAGTAGCCCTGCCTCGACTCTTCCCCTTGTCTTTGGCCTGTAGGCTATCACCTTCTTGTGCTGGGCCTCAGTTTTTTCATCACAGAGCTGTTCTGAGGAGCAAACAAAATTAAGGTTGTGAAAGCACTACGTGAGCTGTGAAGTGAGCTCCTTTTGCAAAGAACTGTGCCCAGGTTTCCTATGAATGAGGACCCCAGCACCTCAATGTAAAGACTTGAGTCCTTTGCAATTAGGGATGGACCTTCCAGTTAAGCACATGGGTAGGCAGGCGTGGTCCGTACTATATCTATAGCTGAGTCACCTGTAGAATCTCTCCTTGCAGCAGAGATAGACTAAGACACATAATACATGTGTTATAACCACTCTTCTCTGAGGGGCTTGAGACAGACATGCTCTTGGTTTCAGCTTTTGTAAGGTCTTAGAATATCGCTCATTGTTAATGAGGCATCTTCGGGATGAAACCCAAAACCGGCCTGGCAATTCATCTGTTTTATAGAACCTGGACACAGTAACTGAAAGCTGTTTTGCATGTTTCTAATGTCCCTGTGTCTTAGCTGTGACCTGGGTGAAGTCAGAGGCAGAGGTTTTCATTTATACCACCATGTTTGCTGTTGCTGTTTGCTTGCTTGCTTTTTTTGTTTATTTTCAAGTTTTAGATTTTGAAGTGTTTGGGGTTTTGAGATCAGTGGTGTTCAGCTTGCATGTACTTCTCCCCAGAAAACCACTTCCAGTACACCCTACTGAAGTGGCCATTGTCCTTACTCTCACGATGGCAGCAGGCTGCATGAGGTCACACAGAGGCATGTTGTGCCTCCGGAGCCAGGGTTCAGAACTGGTTTTGTGAGTCAACACAACTCCAGCACTGTGACAAGTTACCTGAAACCAATTGGTTTGAAGGAGGAAAAGCTTCTTTGGGATCATGGCGTCAGTCCTCGGCTACTTGGCCATTTTGCTCTGTTCCTAGGACAGCACAGTGTACTGTAGAGGGAGCGTGGGCTGTAGGATGCTGCTTGCTTTGTGGCATCCCATAAGCAAAGAGGGAAAGAGAGGAAGGGGCAAGGGTCCAATTCCCATTTCACGGCCATTAACCTAACTCCCTTTCACTAGGATCCACATCCTAATGGTTCTACTACCTCCCAGCAGTACTCCAGGCAGGGGTCCAAGCACTCAGCACATGTTTGGGGGGACTTTCACTAGCCCCTAAATTACTCCATGAACACAGATTCACTTCTGCCAGGTGATATTGTTCAAGGTAGTCATGGGTAAAACTGGGCCTGGGGTGAGGGAAGGCTGCCTTAGGACATATATCTGAAGGTGACACTAACTCAGTCATTGGCCTTGCCCTTGGCTGACTGCCAGTGTGAGCATCTTCCTGCATTTTGAACCTTGAGTATATTGACTGCCCCAGTCTCAGAATGGGTGAAGAAGCAGGCCTCATCCTTTAGTGGGAAGACCTATAGTCACGTGGCTGAACTCTCTGTTCCGAGGGGGAGGAGCAAGGTTCTCAGTGCAATGAGTCAACAGAAGAGAATTACAAAGGCAAAGCAGGTAGGATAGAGTCAGAGCTTCCCAGAGGGAGTGGCCTGAAGAGGGAGTGGCCTGAAGCTCTATCTCTGAATGCAATTCTCTTCCACCATTGGGCAGGCTGTTTTCTCAAGGAAGCCTTTGTCCCATCCCCATTTTCTCATTCCTAAACACTGCCCAATTGTGAATCAGTTTGGGTCACCTACCACACCACCAGTTCCTGGTTCCCTGGATGTGACCTGCTACACTTGAACTTGGGGGTCAGTGTGGGCCTTGAAAAATAAAATCTTAAATTTAGGTCTCTAGAGATAATTGACGTAACTACCTACAGGTGTGCACATGTGTGTGTGTGTGTGTGTGTGGTATGCCTGTGTGTGAATGTAGTGTATATGTATGTACTGTGTGTTCGTGTGTGCATGTGGGTACATGCACCTATGCATGCACATATGGAGGCCAGAGAACACAGGAAGTCCTCCTCATTCACTCTCAGCCTTATTCCTTTGATATAATATCTCTCACTGAACCTGGAACAAGGCTGGCAGTCAGCAAACCCCAACAAACCCCCCACCATCTCTACTATCCTCAAAACTGGGGTTACAGTCACATGTGCAGCCTCACCCAGCTTTTTATGTGGCTGTTGGTATCCAGACTCAGGTTCTTATGCTCGTTTGGCGTGTGCCCTTACCCGCCAAATCATCTCCCTAGCTCCCGGTATTCTATTTAAATCCACTGGTAATGACACTTTTGCACAAAGTCACAGGTTATTTTTAAAGCAGGCATGGTTTGATGTGTTTGTTAAATCGAATCTAAATGCTTTCTCCAGTGGGATTCTAGGAATTAAAGAATTTATGAGTTTTTGAGGAATTTTCAGAGATGCGGGCAGTTTGAATTAATGTTTATGTCTAGAACTGAAAACTGTGGATCCTTTGGGACCCAAGGAATTGTCAATAGAATCAGCAACTGGAAGTGCTTGGAATGGTGCAAGCCTGCAAGAGCTGCACTCAGGAGGTGGAAGAAGGATGACTAACGAGTCTGAGAGCAGCCTGGGCTACACAGTGAGGTGTTGAAATAGGAGCGTCGAGGCTGCGTCCCCAGCACCCCGGCCGCCTGCTAGCCCATGCCCGAAATAACAACACATAAACTGTATTCATTTAAACACTGCTTGACCCATTTCTATCTAGCCTCTTCTAGGCTAATTCTCACATATTAATTTAGCCCATTTCTAATCATCTGTGTAAGTACCCCAAGGTGCGCTTACTGGGAAGATTCTAGCCTACGTCCATCCTGGGTCGGAGGAGCTTCATTGCGTGCATCTGCCCTGGAGAGCAGAGCATGCCTCTCTGTCTGAGGCATCTGGCTCTGAGAGGAGCTGCATTACTTCTGACCTCACTTCCTCTTCCTCCCAGCATTCTCTTCTGTTTACTCCACCCACCTATGTTCTAACCAATAAAATGGGCCAAGCCAGTTTCTTTATTAGCCAATGACCTTCCTCCATCAGTGAGGCCCTGTCTCCAAACACAAGCAAGCAAGCAAGCAAGCAAGGACTAAAACTGAACCAGAGGTGGCACTTAAATTTGTGCTGTGGCAGACAGAAGTTGTTTCCCACCTAAGATGAAAATCCTAGGTTGTCATTGCCCTTGAACCCAAGGCCACCCTCAAGTCAAGGGCAGGAGGGAGGACAATGCGTGTGAGACAGGCTAGACCACTGCCTCAAGTAATGACATCCGGGCTTCTGGGTGATGTCCAAGATCTGCCTCCAACTTTGACCCATTTGTCAAGGAGGCCTGGAAATAGCTTTCATGCTTCTTCTCTTCCTTTGCCATTTCACTCCCAGT